CAATTGTCATTAAATTAAATGTCATGAGTATAAATTATACTTGCATTTATTATCAGGATGTGAAGCATTTCCGTTTCTTAATTGCTGGTCTTTCTTTCTCAACTCATTCATGAGGTACAAAAAATCATCCCTTTTGATGTTATTCTTTTCACGGTATTCTAATGTTTCGTTGACTGTATTTGTGAAAAATTGTAGCACTTTAGTAGGCCTGGCTCTCCAATTCAATAATCTAAGCAACCATGGAAAGCGACTTCTAAGAACTAGTCTGAGTTTTGTTAAAAAAGAAATCTTGAATACTTGTTTTCCAATTCTTCTAAATTCTGAATCCGGGTCTTTTATGGCATTGGCACTTAGACCAAAAGCACAAGAAGCTATAACATCTGTAGTAAATTTCCCCATCATTTCCCTTGTTTCAAATGGACTACGATTTAAAAACTGATCCATGTACCTAATCAGTTCATCTGTACAATCCAGAAGTTGTTCATGCATCCCTTTTAGTTTGACTGAGCTGAAAATCGGTGTCAATTTGGCCCTCAGGTTTTTCCATTGTTCGTTCTCCATGTGGACGAGATGGTTTGATAAAGGATCCAATTTTTTGTCAACATAAGTAGTTCTATTATAAAAATGTGGGAAGTCCTTAATCAAAACACTTTCTATTAACTCAGGATCCTTTAAAAACAGTACAGGTTTTCTAAAGTGGAATATTCCTCCATAACGGTTCCCTTTGAAAAAATCATATTTTTGGCGTTGATTCTCTACTGTAGATATAATACTGAAAGCATTTTCAAAGGAGTTGCCAAATAAGGGATATTTTGGTTTCATGTAAGCGACGCCCAAATTCTTCCAGTGATTGTATGTCGACTTGCCATAGTAATAGAAAGCTAGAAAGAAAATACAAATAATTAAAAATTTAACATTAAACAGTTCAGTAAGCGACTCCATCGTATTATCTACTAGTTTGAAACTGACACAGCAGCCTGTTTTAAAGCAAATATTGTTGTTGTTTTATGATAAAGAAAAATTTTGCTTTATCATTGTTGTAAACATTCGTGAATTGCTTAAACAGATAATATACTTCAAATAATATGTAAAACTTCAAAGAAAACAAAAATTACTGTTGAAATTTTGTCTAAAAAATATTGAAATAATTATGTAACAACCTAAATGATCTGATATAATATTATTATTGCCTTTAAAAGAGGCATAATCTATTGGTTGGTAAAGAATAATTTTGTATTGTCACAGGAGTAAACACTTGATATTTGATTGATTGTCTTCAAAAGTTTAATCAAAATTATAAAAAACAAAAGGGTGGCAACAAAGATCAACCCCTACTTCCACATAGTGCTGCATGGGAAACACCTCGATGTTGCCGAACCCCTCAAGGGCCACTGCATCGAGGCAGGCTAAAAGGGGACATGGCTACCCTAAACTAATTTGTTAAGCGATCCGTGGCAAAGGAAGAGTGGCACTGAGGTGATAAAAAAATAGTGTCTCAAACAGAGCCTTTACGGAACCGGCCAACACGCTGCTGTATCTAGGCTTACCTGAGCAAGCGGGGATCTGCTTGGGCTGACACCTTATATCCCTTGCTACCATGCTGGGAACCATATGGAACCTAATACAAAAACAAAAAAAACAACCACCTGGGTCAGGCCCAGAGGCCACCCACCAGGCAGCCGTGAGCAGCACCTACCAAAGCAGCACCAGGAATAGATGGACTATATCCAAGGCAAAAAGCCTGGAGGAAATCAACCAACCCTTGGCAAATGAGATTATTAAGGTCACCTGTCAGGAGCCTCCAGAAACGGGCTAACAACCTTGCTGAAGGAGGGAGGGAGTTGAATACACGAAGGACAATGATCAGGGACGTCTTCATAAAGGCGACCCTGAAGCCGACAAAGGAAAATAAGCAAGAGGAAAAGTCAGCTCTTGTGACAAAGCCTGCTTCGAAATCCAAAAAGAAAAGGCCAAGTTCGGAAGACACCACCCCCCAAAAGCAGGTGCCATAAAAGTCAAGACCCCCCCATAGAGATACCTATAAGGGAGCCTTGAGACAAGGACTCGTGGTGGAGATTTTGTGGGGAAATCACATAAACACCTCAATGTGCCTGCACAGGACCCTAACCAAGGATGGTACAGGGGGCAGGTAAGCTTACTTACAAAGACAGATGGAAGCTTCACACAAACGGAAGAAGAAACACTTTCTTCTGTTTGAAAATCACTTCCCAGGAGCCCAAATAATCCATGAAGAAATACCCTGAACGCTCAAAACAAATAAAAACCACATAGGAAGAGTGGAAGGAGGTGGCTGCCATAATAAAACCCATAGCCTTACGCTGGGCACTTGAGAAGTTCAGCCCATACAAGGCACCAGGAATAGATGGACAGTACCCAGCGCTACTATGAAAAGGACAAGAGATTCTCATGCTTAGTAAGAATATTCAGAGCCTGCCTAGCGTGGAGCTATATTCCCAAAAGATGGTGAGAGATACGAGTGGTATACATATCAAAAGTAGGATGACCTATCAACTACAAGCCTAATTCGTATAGACCTATCAGTCTTACATCATTCATGTCAAAGACAGAAGACTGGTGGAGAACCAAATTCGTGAAATTCATGTGCTGAAGAATAAACTTCTCAGTGAGCGACAATTCGCAACCAGGTAGATCCACAGAACTAGCTGTGGACGACCTGTGTAAATCCCTAACCAAAAATGGAGAAGCTGTTACACTTGTTATGGATATAGAGGGAGCTTTCAATGCAACAACAGCCTCTCTATATAGAGCTATTAAAAATAGAGGAGTCTTGTAAAAGATATGCCAATGGGTGGAAGAAGGCCTAAGGAACAGAATAATCACATCCACCTTGGACAGAGGCAACATGGACTCTATTGGCACGGAACCCTACTGCGGCCTAGCAGCATGCCACAAAAGAGGATACAACTTAAAATGGATCCTTAATGAGTCCAAAACATAGTGGAACAATACCACAGGTATGAGGCACACAAAGAGATTCATAGAAGGACCTCTGCAACTTACAAAAGAACTACTAGAAGGCAACCGCAACCGAGCCAGGATTCTGGTTGGACTCCTGACAGGGCACTGACACTTAAGAAAGCACACGCACTGGATAGGAGTACAGACAGAAGAAACACTGTGCAGATACTGCCAGAAAGAGGAGGAGACCATAGAACACATTTTATGTTTCTGTGAAGGTCTATGTAGGTGCAGGTTCTTGCAATTAGGACAAGAAAAACCACAAGCAAGATCCTACACCAAAAACCGCTGGCAATGCTGTGGAGGCTGATTAATGAAGCTGGGTAGTGAGCTATAAAAAAAACAGGGGAGCACAATAGATCGTTTCAGGTCGAGGTGCAGTAGGTCTTGAGGCCGCCTCTTTTATCCCTATCCCTATAAAAACAAAAAG